GAGTATGGCCCTGGACAGAAGGTGGCATCGTCGAGGAGTTCTACATCCTGGAGGACACCCCGCAGGGGGGAGATCCGAGTGCAAGGTTCTTCGGAGTCAGGCGGCACGCAGCCTGACGAGGAGTTCGTAGAATCCGCTGAAGCAGAGGCGGGAGCCGAGATTGAGAATGTCCACGAGGCCGAGGAGGCACCCGAGGGCTCCGAGGACAACACCGACTGGTGGGATCAGGGCTGGCAAGGTGGCTGGGACTCCTGGGGCCAGGAGCCCTACTCCAGCTCATATGGCTGGTGGAAGGGCCGCCCCGGTGGCAGTGCGGCCAGCTGGGCCACCTGGGATGCCTCGGCCACGGCATCAGCCCAGGCAGAACGGTTCCTACCGGATTTTGTCATCGCGTGGCTCCTACTACAACGGTCCGGGCTGGATACTACAGAAAAGAGCGTGATCGTGGCGAACTTGCGCAACAACTTTTCCACACAGAAAGTGAAGGAGGCCCTGAAGCTGACATGGCCTGATGAGGAGCTTCGGAAGAGGGACTCAGGAAAGAATGGTGCCATGTTCGCTGCAGAAGAAGAGGCTCTACTGGCAGATGAAGAGGGCTTCGAGCCAGTGGAGACTCCCAGCTGGGAGGACCCCGAGGAGGGCTACGCGTACCAGGCCTTGGAGGACGACGCGCAGGAGGCATTGGCGGCACTGGATGACGCGAGACGTACTCTCAAGGACGCCAGGGAGAAGCAAGCGCAGATGAGAAGGAATCGCGGCTTCTACAATGGCCGATCTTCTGGAGCCAAGGCTCCAGGCTCCCGGCCGCCAATCAAGTGTTTCCGATGTGGGGGCAATCACTTGCGCCGAGACTGTCCCCAGGCTACATCTGGAAACACCGGAGACCAGCGCGTGCACTTCGTGTTCTCGGCCGTTGACGACAGGACAACTGCGGAGCCAGATGCCAAAGACGACGACACAGCAGCAACAGAGACAAGCTTGTTAGCCTTGGACGAGATTGTGGCCACCGGCAAGGCCATCATCGATGGTGGCGCCACGAGTAGCCTGGGATCGGAAGAGGCCTTACAGCAAGTGGCTATGCTCAACTGGAAGGCTACGGGAAGGGACAGCATTGAGATTGTCCCAGAGGAGCGACCAAGCTTCAGGTTCGGGAACAATGCACAGCACACCTGCCTGTCGACGGCGTTGCTCCGATTGCCAATCAGCTGCAAGGACAGTCAGATGCGTGTGCACATCCACGATATTCCCGGTCAACCAGTGTTGCTGAGTGTGAAGAGTTTGCGAGCCTTAGGAGCAGTGATAGATTTTTCCAACGACCAGGCCGTGTTCAAGGCCTTGGACCCAAAGGCGGTGGTGTCACTCGAGACCACCAGCAGTGGGCACCAGCTGTTTCCTTTGGCCCGGGACGTGCTTGAAGGGGCTACTCCGCTTGAACATCCTTTTAGCTCGTTCCAGCAGTATGTGAAGATTGCGCATCCCGGGCATTAGGGACAGCTCCTTCTGGTGAACGCCGGCGCTCAAGATCACCAGAAGGGTTTTAAAAAGTTCAGTGCGCCAGATGCTATGTACAGGGATGAATCACTCAGCCACCTAGGTGAAATGTTTGGTGAAGGTGAGAGCAAGATGGAATCATCGCAACCCCAGAAGTCCGAATCCTGTATGTGGAGCTTTAGGGAAGCTGAGTCTCGGACCAACCAAGGCCCAAACCCTAGGAACCTGAAGGAACAAATAGAAGCCAAGGCCCGTGAGTTGATCAAGACCAACGCGAAACAGGCCCAGCTTAAAGAGTTCCTCAAGGCCATCCCCTGGAGCGACCTCACCCCCAAGCACAAGGACCGAAGTCAGGTGGTGATGCGAGATGGTGACGATGATCAGAGACCTGCGGGTTATGTGGTTTTCGGAATGTTTGCTCACGGTGGGGTATGTGGCGTGACTAGGGTGACTAGGGAGTACCCATGGTTGACGAGGGTGATGTGTCAGATGATGAGAGAGTGCGACCCGAGATTTCAGGCGACCTCCATAGGAGTGTCATGCAACTGTCAAGCCAAGGCCCATAGGGACAAGTATAACATGTCAGACAGCTACAACCTTGTGATTCCTTTGGAAAAACCGAGGGATGGGGGAGAAATTTGGATGGAACAAGAGGTTACAGGCTTGGAAACGAGTGCCATTGTTCGGGAATGTGAGGGAAAACAGGTTTCGGGATGTCTTCAAAAGCTTGAACAACCAGTGTATGTAAATCCCAGGAAATGGCACGAGACTATGCCGTGGCATGGAAACCGTCTCCTGATGATAGGATACACTCTGAGTAGCTTCCCGAAACTCCCCAAGAGCCAAGTGACTTGGTTGAAGAGTCATGGGTTTCCCTTTCCGTGGAAAACCAGAAGCAGATCCTTTTCCGTGTTCCCGAGCTCGTCACAGTGCCTCAAGCCTGATCCGTCTCCAAGCACCCCTTCCCTCGGTGTCTACGGAGTCTACGATGCCGACCACGGGCAGCACCAAGCTCGAGATGCAGCAGAAGCTGATCAAGATGGGAGAGACGCCACCAGCATCATGGACGAAAGTGCAGCTAGCAACGAGAATCGCAGAGCTGACAGCATCCATGGATCTACCCATGACCGAACGGGAGGCCTCCAAGATGATCAACAGAGCCAAGACGAAGCAAGCTCTGATGGACCTCCTCTCCGAGCACAACCAGACGTACAGCTCACGCCATACCATGGATCAGCTGCGGGCCATCATGCTACGCTACCTGATGGAGACGAAGGTTCCCGCGAGCTACGACAACTACATGGGCTTCGGAAAGTACAGTCAGAGGACCTACGGCCAGACGCTGACGAACTTCCCAAGCTACACGGAGTGGGCTGTGAAGACAGCAGCGGAGGAGGAGGAATGTCACTGGCGGCTACGTCGGTATGCGAACTG